TCTCACTAAACAGAAGTCCTGTAACTAAGAACATACAGAAAAAGCCACCTCGAGACTGGTAGAAGGGGCGGAGATGCAGAACAGGCTGGTCCCACACCTATGTGTGGCAGTTAAAAATCGAGAGGGATGTCCCAACTGCAGCAATCTCCCCCGAGGAGCAAGGGGTCCCAGCTCCACACCAAGCTCCCCATCCCAGAGTTCTAGTGCCAGGAAGAGAAGTCCCCACAAATTCCGGCTGTGTGGGGATTGTTGCTGAGATAGAGGGCTGCTAGAGTCACAGGCATTCTTCTTAAAGGACCCACACACATCCTTACTTGTTGACAGACTCACTCACTCTGAGCTCCAGCGCTGGAACAGCAGCTTGAAAGGTGCCAAGGACATACGGGGAAGAACTGAATTGTCTGGCTTCAAGGCAAGGGGTGAAGGGGCAGCTTTATCCCAGACAGAAGTGCTGGCAAAAGCCATTGTTCCTTTATTGGGCCCTCCTCCCGCCCAGCCTGCACACACAGGTAGGAGCCATATGAGTCTCCATCAACCTGGCTAACAGGTTGGTGATTCAGCCCACCCAAGCCACTTCTAGTGGCTTTTCCGTACAAATGGCCTATCTTGGCTCATGCTGTGAACGTTCCTAAAATCTCTCAAACGTTCGCAAACCCCAGACAAGCATCATCTGGCCTTGACATGACCCATAACTCTTGCTAAGCAGCTCCAAGCCTGGTACTAGTGACAGCCACTCTTGGTTCACAGCTCCATCTCTCCCAGACACCCCCAAGCCCGGCACAAGTACCAACCATCTGCAGATTACTTTGTAGCTCATATCAAGTGGCCTCAGGCAGGACACAGGCAGCGGCTAACCTTGGCCTGCACCAGAGCCCCTCCCAAGGGGCCTAGAACCAATACACTCAGTGGCCATCTTCAGACCACACCAGAGCACTACCCAACCACCTCCACAAACGACACCAGATACCACTTCAAAACCCACTAGGCTGGCTCAAAAAGTTGAGTGATAATAAGTGTTAACAAAAGTCTAGAGAAATCAGAAGCCTCATACTCTGCTGCTGTGAATGTAAAGTGCTGCAGCCATCTTGGAAAACTGTATGGCGGTTCCACAAAAATTTAAACATAGAGTTACCATATAACTTAACAATTTTATTCCCAGATATATACCCAACATAAATGAAAACATATGCCCACACAAATGTTTATAGCACTGTTAATTATAATAGCCAAAGATGGAGATAACACAAAATGTTATCTACTGATGGATAAACAAAATGTGGTAATCCATACATTGGAATATTATTCAACAGTAAAAAAGAAGTGCTGATGTGCACTTTTTTCATTCATTCATTCATTCAATCCAACTTGAATGAAGCTGGAAAACATCACCGTAAGTGAAAGAAGCCAACCACAAAAATCCACATGATTCCATTCATATGAAAGCCCAGAACATGGGATTCTATAGAGACAGGCAAATTAGTTGTGGAGGTGAGGGGTGGGGTGGGGAGGATGGGGGTGATAGCTGAAGCATGCAGTGTTTCTTTTGAAGTGATGAAAATGTTCTAAAATTGGCTATGGTGATGGTTACACATATTTGAATATATTAATAACCATTGACTTGTACACTTTAATTCACCTAGTAAAGTGTACATTCAATGGTTATTAATAATATTAACCATTGGTATGGTATGGTATGTGAATTACATCTCAAGCTGTTAATGAAATGAGGGAAATCTGTGTAGTACTCTAATCTCTAAAATATTTTGTTTTTTAAAAAAGAAGATGCAGGGGGAAAAGAATTGTTCCATATCCTGTATGTGGTGTTGGTTACGTGCATCTATAATTTTGTTAAAATTCATAGAACTGTAAGGAGAAAATTTTATTATATGATAATATAAAATAAAATCTTTAAAAATGTAGCAGAAATTGAGAGGAGAGGGATTAACCGTCACCAGAGTTAGTAGTCCTGTGGTGAACATCAGGGATGCCTTCAAGGACAGGAAGCCACATTCGAGAGTATTTGGAAGGATGGTTTGGCTCGGACAGATATTTAAAGAGAGGTTTGCTGAAGAAAGGAAGATCATTTCAGACAGTGTCGACAATGGCCTAAAGTACAGGATAGGGAATCTATGACTGGCCGGGGAGCATTAATTGTTTAGGACCTGCTGAAAGGAAGCATACGTACAGGAAAGGCTCTTCAGATTATGAATTTCCTTGATATCAGGTTCAGAATTGAACACTTTATGATATAGTCAGTGATGACCCATCAAAGGTTTTTGATCAGAACTCTGCCTTAGGCATACTATTCTACAAGAACTATAAATAAGTTGGGGACCAGTTAGAAGGCAGATATAGTAGTTCAGTCAGGTGAGCATGAAGGACTGATGTGGGCATTGGAGGTCTAAAAGAGAAGGGAACAGGTAGGACTGATATTGTGAAGAACATAGCTGGTTGGGGAGGGAGAGAAAAGTTCAAAAATTGACTCAGGTTTGGAGCCTAAGTGACTGGGGTAACAGTACTGTTAAGGAAGGAAAGAAAAGCAGAGAAGTTGACGAGTTTAGTCTGGGATTTGTTTAGTTTGTGGAGCTAGGAGACCTCTATATAAGATTAGTGGCAGTTAGAAGCCATGTAGTATAGTGGAAAGAGCACTTGGCCTATTTCTTCATTTATGAAATAAGAGATTTGGATTTAAAAGGTAGAATTTATATGATTCAGAGCAAAGGTTTTGGAGACCCACTTGCCTGGGTTCAGTTACTAGCCTGTTATTATTCTTTCTGGGCCTCAGATTCTGTAAAATGGGGATAATCATCATATACCTACCTAATATGGCTTCTGTGAGGAATATGCACACACATGCACACCTTATTTAGAACAATGCCTGGTACACAGTAAGCTTATTGTTCTATAGGTGGAGTCCTTTCAGATCCCATGATCTATTGTGTTAGATGGTCAATTCCTGTCAACCTGGCATGCCAAGGTAGAGGTCAGGATCAGAGATGCACGTTAATCCTTTTTGCCCTAAGGTATTATTGAACAGATGGCACGAGATACCAAAGGAGAAAACGGAAAGAACGTATGATCGGCAAGGACGGAAGGTTGAGGAACATTGGGGAGCAAGAGGCAGGAGCACGTAGGAGGGGCCAGTGAAGAATCATTCAGAGAAAGAGGGGACACCAGGAGACACTGTCATAAAAGCCAAGCGGAAGAGAAACAGCTCAAAGGAAGATCGTGTTTAGAGACCACTTAAGCTAAGTTCGAAGGTTTATGGGACATATCTGATGGACAGGGAGACGTTCAAGATGAAAGCAAAGAAGATTGATTGATGGAGGGTTCAGGAGGAAAGATGATTCCTTTCTTTGAACTGAGATAACCCAAGGGACAGCTACGTGATGATATGGCCACATTTTGAGTTGGGCGGTTGGACGTCAGGGACGTGCATGCTGGACAACTTCAGTTTTCCTTCCACGAGATAGGAAGCAAGGTCATCGGGGGATAGAGGATGGTAGGGAATAAAATTGAAGCATGTTTCTAAGCAGCTTTAAATATTTCCTCTAACTCTGCCCTTTGTGTGAATAGAAAATAAATGATCCATGTCAATTAGAATAGGGAATGTTTACTGAGCCTTTAATATCTGCCAGGTATCTTGCTAAGTGCTTAAATCCCTAACAGGAAAATTGTATTAGTATTATCCATGTATTACAGAAATTAATGCATGAGACAGAGAAAGGAATTGGAAACTTCTCAAGGCTACCCCCCGAATAAAAGGTGGGACCAAGGTTGAATACCACAACAGCCTAACTCAGAGCTCTTCACAATCATACTTTTCTAAGGTTTTATCCTCAGGTTTCATTAAAGCAGTGAAATATTGGTTCAAGAATATACATGAATGAATGGGATAGGATATAAAGTATGGAAAAATAGGCCATTTATACAATTGAAAATAGTTTTAATCAAGTCAACATTTTTTAATTAATGGAAAAAGGATGACTTGTTTAATAAATGCATAGGGACAATTATCTATTTTTTAAGCTTTTAATTCATTTTAACCCCATATTTTAATATATATATAATAGAAATCAGAACAGTGGTTGTTTATGGCGGGATAAAGTTCGACTTAGGGGCACGAGGGAATTTTCTAAGGTAATAGTGATGTTCTATAATTTGAATGTTGGTTACACGGGTTTTGGGGGATTTTTGGTGGGTTTTTTTAGTCAAAATTCATTGAATTATACATTTAAAATCTGTACCTTCCGCTCTGTAAATTTTCTCTGTTTTTTAAAAGGGAAATCCATATGTAGATCCCTGAGATGTTGTTAAATGAAAAAAATAGCAAACTGTAGAATGAGATGCACAATATGATACCATTTATATAGAGACAAAATATAATAATTGCCACCAAACAAAATCATCTGTGTGCATCCACACACTCGTATGTCAGTGTGTCATGGTTCTCAGGTCCAGCCACCCCATTCCGCCAGTAAATAAATTCCTCCTCTGGGGTCACTCTCACATGCTCTTAGGGTTTCTTTCGAGGATGCAAAGACTTTTATATTATTAAAACATCATTAGCATAAGAGTAAATTTCCCCATTGTTTATAGTACTCATTGGTATACTATTCCCCGGTGAAGAAAGATGTTCTCTTTCAGGAAATTGTAACTAAAAAAACATGACCTGTTTGTATAGTGATTTTGGCACTAATGTATTTTAAGAGGCGGCCTGGTATTGTGGAACTGTCGTTGAATTAGAAGTAGGGGACCTGAGTTCTGGTTCTGACTCTGCCGCTGATTAAATGACTTGCTCCAGACTATCCACATGATCTCTCCAAGCTTCATCTTCCTTGTTGCTTCAATAAATGGGTTGGACTGATGACCTAGGGTCCTTCCAGGCCTAAGATTCACTCAACCCTGTTCATTCACACAAAACTTACATAAAATAGGTCACTTGACCTACAGTAGGTATGTGGAAAGTAAGGTTTCTTTGCTTTTATATTTTGAAACAGGTAACGACCAAAGCCAAGCAACTGAAGGATTCTGTTTCCTGCTCCCCAGGTAAGTTAGCACCCACTGCCCCCATCAATCTAAAGCAGTTTCTTCAAAACAAATCCCTTTTTATAACAACTCTTTAAATACAGTGGTATAATAGTTTTACCAAGTCAAATTACGGGCACCAACAAGCCAATCCAACCCTGTACATTAGGTGCTAAGGTGTATTTAATAAGTTTAAAGAACTATAAAAACCTGTTCTTCTCTAGTATTGGGGGGTGGGGGCTGCAAGGGGAAGCCAATGTTTGCATCACACAGCGTTGTCCTTCAGAATAGACAACAGGCAGCTCTCCTAAAAATCGATATTTCTCCAACTCTTTCCTCTGAGACGACCTGGAATTTTGTTAGCTTCTCCATTCTTGGAACTGGGAAGTGAGAAAATGCCTCCCACACCTTCTAACTCAAGCAGGGAGCAAGTGTCGGTGGTCCCCTGCAGGAGGGAGCCAGGCCTGGCCCGACAGACACGTTTTAGTTATGCTAACGGAATCAGTACCGCTGGGCTGGCCTTACCTAAAAAAGCTCAGATTATTCCTTCTCAAACCTTTGCATTCTTGGGTCACAGCCCGACTCTGTAGCCTGCTGCTCCTCAGGCGGTAGGAAGGCGGAGGCTTGGGGTCAGGCAGAACTGGGGTCCGGCCCCACCCCACCCGATGCTCTCTGAGACTGTACATTAGGATACTGACACCTCTCCTCCTAGAACAGTGTGAAAATTAAGTGAAATAACGTATGCAGAGTGCCTAGCACGCCGTCTACGTGTGGGAGGCAGCTGCTGTCGCTCCTGTCGCCTGGCTTGACCTTGCCCCTTCCCCTTGCGCACAGGAATGGTCAGACTGTCCGAACTCAGATCGACAGCCCCGCATCCCAGGCCCGTCAGGACCGTGATGGCCTTGCCGGACGACATCATCACCCAGCGAGCAGGTGCTGAGCGGGCCATGGACGCCAATGAAGGGGAGGACAGCGACGGGCAGGAGGGCGAGGAGCGGGGGGCCACGGCCCCCGAAAGCGGCCCGCGGCGGCGGCGGCCAGCCAGGCTGCCGGAGCCCGAGGAGAAGCTCCGCGGAAGGAGGCAGAAGGACTTCGATAACTCAGAACAAAACACGTCCAGCGACGAGGAGAGCCAGAGGAGAGAGAGAGGCCACACCGCGGAGGAGCCATGGACTCAGACTCAGCAGAAACTTCTGGAACTGGCATTACAGCAGTACCCAAAAGGATCCTCTGACCGCTGGGACAAAATAGCCAAATGTGTCCCGTCTAAGAGCAAGGTGGGTGAGGCGGGGACCGGAGCCCCACGGAAGTGGCCGCAGCTGGCTCTGCCCAATCGTTCCCTCCTCTTACCCGTGACCTTCTGTCTGCACCTGTCCACACGGCCTCTCGTTTGCCGGTCGGGTCCCCTGACGGCACGAGGAGCCCAGGCAGGCGCCTGGGCAGTGCGCACTCACCAGGTCGGGGGGCGAAGCCGCGTCATGGTTCAGCCCGGGGAGCTTTTCCCAGAGAAAACTGCTCACGTGGATCATAAATTTCACCCTCAGTTCCCTGCCAGACACTGCAGCATTCGCTCTGCTCCGGCGGCAGTTTGAGGGAAGCCGGGGGGTGGCTGGGCGGTGCCCTCGTCACCCTGAGGGCAGTGGAGCAGCAGCAGGTCACCCGCCACCGTGCAGGCCCCTTCCAACAAGAGTGAGGAGGTGGAGTCTCAAAATCACAAGCCCCTCCAGCTCTGTAGCTGTGACGAGCATTTAACCAAGGGACACGTGTGGCTGTTGCCACGATCACCAGCTCTGCAGCGTGACTCACTCTGGCCCCAGTGGTAGCACCTAGTTGACCAGAGGCCCAGGAGGCATATTATGTGTGGGGTCATTGTGCCCTCCGTAGCCTTGACTGTTTGTAACAGGCTTTTCTCCCCGTTTTCAGCTCTCAGTATCTGCTTGAATACACCTGCAGATAGTCCTCAAATAACAGCTCAGGCGGGAAGACGGGTGTCCCTGGGCCTTCTGCTGGGCCCGCGCGGGGCTGTCGCCCTTGCCGTCGTGATCTTTCCAGCTCGGCCCTTTCTCCACACGCAGTACGCAGTCCCCGGGGCTTTTCTGGGTCTGAGGCCCGGGGATCACTGAGAAATCAAAAGCACCAATCTCTTCCGCCTTCTGTGCCTACCGCTCAGTAGCCTCTGGGCACATTGATGTTCATTTACATTCTTATTTTTTTTTTAATTGAAATTCGATGTTGGAAAATCTAGCTTGTGGCCATGAATGTCCCCGTGTGTACAGGTCTAGTTATCTATCACCCACTTTAAAATGAGGAGGTCGAGAATTCCCGGGGAGAAAAATAAAACCATTAGCAGTTGATCTATTTGAGAAACACAGATTCTCCCAGCCTCTCCAACTGGTTTGCCAGAAGTAATTATTTTCCCTGAATTTCTCTAGCATCTGTCAGGACACAGGCATTTGCATGTGTGATGAATTGACATTGGTTTAAAATGAAGGAGCTGGAACTGTGGATTCCTAAAGATAGAACACTCAGAAACTCATTGCCTTGGGGTTTGGAAACCTTCCTGAGATGAGCAGGGCTTTTATTGTCCTGCAGACATTCCCTTTAAGCCTGGACATTGGAACTAAGTCCAGGAGAGGTGGCCAGAGGGCTCGCCTGCTAAGGAGTGACTCCTTGTAAGTGGCCTTCTGGGCCTGGAGGAGGAGCCTCTGCCTGGGGTGCCTGCGGGCCTGCCGCTCAGCTGGGGCCCACACTGTCCTCCAGGCGGGGTGCTGGCCACCTGCCTTCGGTGTCATGCACTAGGTGGCACCAGCAGGCAGCAGAGCTATTAAGGAAAAGCTGCTATTTTTAAAGACCCTAACTAGGCAAGATGTCTTTGGGGATGCAGAAAAGGCGCTTATTATACTCTCATGACACGACCGGGCTAAAATTCTAGGAAGAGAATGAACATCCATACCCTGTCCAAGGCAGCTGATAAAATCAGCTGCTATGGAGCAGAAATCAGTTTGCACTAGACCTTTAGTTAGTGAAGACATTGAGGCAAGTTTGTTTTTTTTTTTTTTAAAACAAACAAATGGATTCTGGAAAGTACCTTGTCATAAACATGACAGTCATGCGTCCCCACCCCAAGGGGTGACAGCTGCAGGCAGCTGAGATCTGAAGCTAGAAGTTCTGTACCTGACAGGTCGGAAGGTCGAGGTGGGGCTGGAACCAGCAGGAGGAAACTGCACACACTCCCTGCAGGTGTCCCGTGGGGCTGGGCTGACGCATCCCACAGCAGTCCCAGCCGCCCTTGGGGAGAGGCAGACCCAAAGGATAGTAACGGTGGACGCCTGGCCTCAAGTTTTTTTGGTTTCTCTGAAGTGACATGTGATGCAGTAGTGAAATGTTAACCATGATCATTACAGTTAGTACGGTGAAAGTCATTATCATAATCATATAGGCCTCGCTAACAGCTGCCCCGAGGCCCACACTACACCTTGGGCTGGACGTTCAGCCTCGGCTGCCTGGGACCAGCTGGACTCACCCAGGAAGCTCTAGGCAGGTTCTATGCCAAGCATGGGGACGTGAGGCTGCTTCTCTAGCACTGGGCACAGCCAGCAAGCAGGCCCCGCAGGCTTACGAGAGCTGCACTGATTTGTGGAAGTAATTGTTTTCGCCTCTCTTTTTCTCTTCCTACAGGAAGACTGTATCGCTAGGTACAAGTTGCTGGTTGAACTGGTCCAAAAGAAAAAACAAGCTAAAAGCTGAATGTTCTGGAAGATGATGTTCACCTTCATTTTCCAAAATTATTTTAAAACTCTCATGCAGAAATTTGCATTTTGTACCTCAGTATTTCTATACGTCATGTGCCTTAATTGAAAAAACAAATAAATAAATAAATTTAAAAGAAACGTGGCGCTGTATTGTTTAAACAAACACTGTGTTCAAGGAGAAAGGACGGGGGTGTCCCACGGCTTGTTCGCTCATTACCGCAGAGTTTGCCGAGCTGGGCGTCAGCCCGGGTAGTGCTCAGTGAACGACCAGGTGAATATGTGATTCTGAAGGAACATACGAGGGACTCTACTGTGTGAGAATTAAAACTGAGTGTGTTTCTTTGACTAAAGAACATCCGAGCTCATGAGTTCACTGGCAGCAGCATGTCAGTGCCTGGGCAAACCGAGGTCACTATTTTGTACTGTTAATTTTGATGGGACTCCTCCTTGGTGTTTGTGTTTGAACTGTCACCGTGAGCCGAGCACTGCTGTTTAAATCTTCTGTCATTTGCTCAGGGCTTAGAAGCAGTTTGCCAGATGCACACTGCCCAACCTTAAAAACCAGTCAGATCACTAGAACGCATTTAAGGAAAGTGATTTGGTAAAATATCTACAGAGAAGCCATATTTCTCAAAGGACTGAAATGAGGTTACAGGTTCCTGGAGAAAACTTTGGCTTTGATGTCCTAACTCTGCTGCCCTGTAACCTTTCACCCACAGAAGACAAGGCACCGGGTGAGCCCCGAACCCATTCCCACGACACCCGACTCCAGCACAGCTCCCGGAGTGGGACGCTGTGGGAATTCGCCCCTCAGAGACCTCAGCAAGAGCAGTTGTGTGACAGCGAGTTACGAACTGATTGTCAGGTTTTCACGCACTGAGTCGGCGGCAGCAGCTCCCTTCAGTCGGGAAGAAGAGCCTGCCTGGCCCACGGGTTGGCACTGTCACCGGGGCTGGGCCCAGGCCGGTGGAGGGACAGGAGGAGAGGGCACAGAGTTGGTCTTCGCCTTGTCCCAGCAGGATCCGCTCCCTCCACTAAACAAGCCAGAACTGAGGCAGTCACAGGGGTGACCCGGGGCCAGTAGCTTCTCCCCTCAGAAGTTTCTCACGGAGCCGAGGGGGCTGAGCTGGTCCCTGTGGTCCCGTCCACACGAGGATGTTCCAGAGAAAACAGCCTGTGCGCGGAGGGCAACGCTCTGGCTGCGTGCCAGGCCCTGGGTCCGTCCCTCCGGTCTCCGAGTCCAGCTTCGGGCCTGTCACACAGCTTGGCTGTCCAGCTTGTGACGTTTGTGAATATCCATTAAGTCACCCTTTTTACTTATTCTGTCACACACCCCCCAAATCCCATCGCAGGGTTTTGGGCTTCCAGGGTGGGGAGAGCCCCAGAGGGGTCCAAAGATGCCTCAGGGAGTCCAGATTAGGATGAACCCCCTGGTTTGCCTACCAACCTCGTCTTTTCTAGACTCCTTAGGAAAACCAGGCTCTGGCCCGGTTTCTGCTGACGACTCCCCCTGCCTGCCAGCTCCTTTCAAAGAAAGCGAAAGGGCCCTTTCTATGGGACTCCAGCTGCTGAGTGTTGAAGTAGGACCATGGGGCGGGGGACAGCCACTCCTAGGGGACAGGTGCGGTCCGTGTGAGCAAGGTCATGGCCAAGGAAGCGAGGGAGCCTCCGAAAGGAGCACTCCGCCCAGGTCGCCTGGGGCCAAGCAGGGCTCCCGCTGATGCTCACTGACCCTTGCCTGGTCCCTTTCTCCAGTCCCCGTCCCCGAACCCGTCCCTCTGAAGCCCTGCCTTGTTACTGTATTTATTAGCACCCCCAAGGCTTAGCTGTGTGACATCAGATACTAGGGGTTACCTCTTTGTCTCAATTCCTTGACTGGAAAAATTGGGACTAGTGGTAACTTTCCATCTCGCCCTGCCAGCCGGAATGCCTCCCCCCACCCTCAGGGGGACCCTAGGTCACTGCATGGACTCTGGGAGGGTCTGGGATTATGCAAAATCTACGCGGGGTGTGTCGTTTTCTGGGGAAAGCGTCCCACACCTTTCACGAGCTGCCTCCGCGGTGGTGCTCACAGCCTGGCAGGGCCTGGTGGTACCGGGGGAACCTCAGACCCGCCCTCTGACAAGAAGGGGTCCAGACCCCCGCTCTGCCGCTTACAATCTGGGGGTCTTGTATTGGAGGCTCATTTCCTGTCCGTCAGACAACAGGAACATCTGAGCTGCCTCAGGAAAAGGCCTTCGCTTCAGGAGCTGCCTGGCCCTGGTCTTGTCCTCAGATATAGCTAGAGAAAGGGCAGAGTTTAGAGTCTAAATCCTGGGTCGAGTCTAGTGAGTAAGGAAGAGGCACTGACGTGCAGAGCATCTGGATTGCTTGGGGTTCGTGAGGAGGCTGGGGGCAGACAGCTGGGCAGTGAGGGCATAGAGGCTGGACTGGGAAAGCCCTGGCCTGGCTCAGGGGACATCCTCTACCAGCACTGTCCTGTGCCAGCCATCTGCCACCACCAGCCACACACAGCCAGGCCGGGGGCTGCAAGGGAGCCCGAGCTTCAGGTTCTCAGTGCCCCTGCATCCTTGGTCCCATAGTGACTTAGACTTACTTTCTCCACTGGGGCAAAATCCTACAGCTACCAGGTCTTTAAACCATTTATAGTACCGTTTTAAGAGTCCATTCACACATTCTCTCATTGATCCTCACAACCCCCACCCCCTGCCCACTGGCAGCCACCTTTCCACCCCCAGGTGCTGTCACCAATCTTAGCAGGGAGCCGGGCCCTGCAGGCCAAGCTGCCTTCTTCCCAGTGCTGTCTTCCTCACACCTGTTACTGAGAAGGGGGTGGGAGGTCACCTGCAGGTAACGCTGCTTAGGTTTCCAGCCGATAAATCTGCCTGGGAACTCTGGGGCGGTCCTGCACCCCCAGCTCTCCCTGGACGCCTGCACCTGCCCAGCGAACACCTGCACCCCTAGAGGACGACCGGTCTTGCCTGGAAAATGGCAGCCAGTGGGTGGTGTCAAACTGCCCTGTCAGTTTTTGAACAGTCATCATAAGCTTTCCGCCGTAAAGGTCTTGGTTTTCGCACACCCTAAAAACACCTCCTGCTGTGGGGCTTTCTCTCGATTCGTGCCGGTCCCCACCCAGACCTGGTCC